TAACTAGCTTATGAACTAAGCAGATAGGGATAGTGGAATAATTTAGATAAAATTTATATGAAGTACCTACACTAAATGAGAATTGAATTGGAAGTTGACAACATGAATGGTGTCACTATGTGGATCATAAATTATAGCACAAAATTGTTAAAGCTTAAAATTATCACAAAGCACGTATTAAAAAATTATAAAGGTTATTTGCTGAACTAAATCAAGCAAAATGAACAATAATTATCAGTCATGTGTGATATGGCCGCCAGATAAAAAATGAAACAAGATTTATACGTCATTGTGAAGTATGTCTCAAATCCGAGTCCCTATTATTGTTGAAATGTTAATTTAATAAAAATGTATAGATTATACTGAAACCATCGATATCCGTCATTGCGTTAATTGCATTTGCTTCCCTTGAAATGTGACACATCTTTAAAAATTCACGTTTTTTTAGGTTTTTTTTTAATCTAATATGGTTGTTTCGTCAAAATTGATGTTATGACCTAGTGATAAACAATGATTGGGCAATATACAACTGTTTGTTGTATATTGTCCAAGTTTTCGACTTTTTTGACCTATTGATTCCCATGTATGGATTATACAGGGTGGTCCGAATTTTATGCAGGAAACTTCGAGGGTAGATAGATCTCTTTAAATTAGTAGGTGTTTGCCTGATAGACATAGGTCCGGGACGGCCTCGTTTTAGAGATACAGGGTGTTGAAGTTGTTAAAAAAAATTGATTTTTTGTTTATATCTCCGGAATCCATCAACCGATTTCAATATAATTTAGTACAGATAATGTATGATAGTAGGCCTTGTATTCCCTAAAATATGAGCTCTAAAGGTCCAACCAGTGGTGCACAACTGGAAAGGGTCACCCCTTTTTTATAAAAAAAAACCTACGCCACTGTATTTTTTACAAGCTGTTGTACCGAATTTATATTCTAATGCACAAAATACGTAAAAAAGGTAACTTGAATTTTTTCCCTAAAGTTCACCGTTCTCAAGTCATTCATACCAATACAATCCCCTTGTGGCACACTTCTAACCATAATATTACAAGAATATTTATGTCTATGCTTAAAAGTAATTGGAATTTGTAAGCACATCAACAAAATTCTTTACACTCATCGCTTTCATCTTTTTGGATTAAAACAATATTTGGAAAATCACGACAAAGGAATGAAAGGCACAGAAATGAAATTTTAAATGTATTTGACGACGATCCTCGGCTAAGTACACGAAGAACGTCTCGGCAACTTGGGGTGAGTAAATTGAAAATTTGAAAAGTTCTACTTGCCAATGTCAACCATAATGGTGCCGAGGGTCCAGTGTCTTGGCCAGCCAGATCGCCAGATCTAAACTCCCTGGACTTCTATGTTTGAGGTGACCTACTTGAAAAGTTTACTCTACTCCGATAGATACTGAACCACAACTAATGCAGCGAATAGAAGACAGGTGTAATGAATTAAAAGAAAACCACCACATGATATTAGCTTCAATTAGTTCCATTAATAATAAATGTCAGAAACGTATCGATGTGGGTGGTTCGAATTTTAAACAATTGCTGTAAATACTTCACGTTAATTTTGTTTCCTGTTTAGTTGTTGTTGCTTGGTAAAATACATGTATTTTTATTATTATTTTGATTTAAATTGTTCTTATTTGTAAAGATAATGCCTCCAGGGAAAACTAAAACACACCAGGAACACTACCTGACAAGTGATGTGGAAAGAATTTTGTTGATGTGCTTACAAATTGCACTTACTTCTATGCATAAACATAAATATTTTTGTAATATTATTATTCAAGTGTCTGCCACAAGGGGATTGTATTTGTATGAATAACTTGAAAATGGTGAACCTTAGGGAAAAAATTCAGGTCACATTTTTTACTTATGTAGTGCATTAGAATATAAATCCGTTGCAATAACTTGTAAAAAATACAGTGGCGTAGGTTTTTTTTATAAAAAGGGGGTGACCCCTGTCCAGTTGTACACCACTGGTTAAACCTTTAAAGCTCATATTTTAGGGAATGCAAGGCCTACTATCGTACATTATTTGTACCAAATTTTATTGAGATCGGTTAATACATTCCTGAGATATAAACAAAAAATATATTTTTCTTAACAACTTCAACACCCTGTATCTATAAAACGAGGCCGTTCCAGACCTATGTTTATAAGGCAAACTCATATTATTTTAAAGAGATCTATCTGTCCTCGAAGTTTCCTGCATAAAATTCGGACCACCCTGTAGATGGGATGCAATAAACTACATCGGATTTATAAACTGTAGATCTTTATCTGTTAATTTTGTGAATATTTTATTTATGGTTAACTGATTTTTGAACGCTAATTTAACCACACTGTGTACAAAAAAAATCACATTTCTCAATTTTTGAAAATACTGTACCTAAATGTGGTACAGAAAAGTAATGATTTTGAATGGCTTTGTTAACATTAGCTCTAACTTGCACACATTTTTGTTGTTCTTTGTTTTGTTGTGTTGTGGAATGATTCATAATGCATATTATAATTATCCAGGTTTTCTGTGCCACGATAGGATGAAGGAGTTATCCTCTCTCCTAATCTTGTATCTAAATAAGGTACACTCTAATTGGTGTTCGATAATAAATTGTAAATATGGATTATAATTGTTGAAAACTTGGAGTAATTGTCCCACCCTTGCTTGGGGTACACTTAATACAATGTCATAAACATTTTTCTTTAAAAAAAGAAGGCATTGCGAAATTAATATTTGACAAACATTCGTTTACAAGATCATCCATCACATACTGTGCAAGGAATGAAAATACTAGACAGTCCATTAGCACGGCCAAAATTTGTTTGTAAATAGAATTATTATAACTGAAAACTGTTTTGTCAAATAATAAATTTAAGAACTGCAAAAATTTTGTTTAAGTTAGTTTGAAATGCAATTTAATATCATCTCAATTTATTGTTTCACTAAATCTAATGTTACATTGTAAAAAAAATCTTTAACATCTAAGATGATAATTACATTATCGTTCGGTAATTGAAACCCATTTATAAAAGTATTGAATTCAAAAGAATCTTTAACAAAAAAAGGATTGTTACCGTCATATGTCATGGTAAGGATGTTGGTTACTAATTAGCCAAAATTCTTAACTTAGAAAATAAAATTACTATTGATCTTAAAAAGAAATTTCGTAGTACTAAAAATAAAATTAATAATGAATTACCTTAACCTATAACCATATAACCATAACCATAAAAATATTCACAAAATTAAAAGATAAAGATCCGCAACTTTATAAATCAAATGTAGTTTATTGCATCCCATATATGGATTGTGAATCGAGATATTTGTCAAACAAATCGAAAATTAAAAGATTGAATTACTTCACACAAAAGTGACGTAATAATGAAAAACAACAACACCACCATCACCTCCCCTTAGTAGTCCTGTTATTTATTTGTTGGTTGTTTGGTTACAAATATGAGGGTTTAAATAACATAGTTTGTGATTAAATCACTTCTTTCAGTCATTATTTTAGTTGTTACTTACTGGTCTGATGTTTTTTTTTCAATGCCTACATCAACACCAACAGACTGCATCTAATACCTTATTTACATAGGCCCAAAAACAGAAATCGAAAAGTCCTTTTTCCCGGACTAGGTGACCTTTATGTTTTTGCGGTCGCTGATCACGAACCCATATCCATATAACCCCATCATGTCTAAATCAAGGTCAAATGAAGATCAAACACATTGACTCGATTGATACAATATTTTGACCCCGAATTCTGAAAGAGCGGAAAATTTTACGTCCAAATACGCTTCGACCTGTATGTCGAATCGACCTCTGAAAGATCATTTGCAGGTTTATCTAGAAGTCAAATCCTTCTTTTGATCTCTCGGCTGATATATCGGTTAAGAAGCGAAATATCGTATAATATTATCTCTATGAAAGTTCAGGGGAATTAGTCCCGCCCTCACGAAAAAAATACTAAAGAATATTGTGGGCGAATTGTTGAGAAACTACGAAAGGATAGGATGTTTAATGAACTTCAAGATCCATTTTCTTTATTCCCATGTTGATTACTTTCCCAACAATCTAGTAAGACTTCAGTGAGAAGCAAGGTGAGAGATTTCATCAAGACTTTAAAGAATTCGAGAATAGATATTATTAAGGTGTGTGGGATAGCGGCAGTCAGAGTAGGCTGCTTTACCAGCCGCTGGTTTTATGAACTCCTTGCTGTCCCTGTTTTTACAATATAAAACCAATGTGAACCAAAACCAGCGGCTACTTACCGTGGATGTTTACAGCCAGCAGCCACCAGCGGATGGTAAAGTAACCTAATCTGACCGCCGCTTATGATGGCCGACGATTGATGCTGGTCATTGAAAAGACATAAGACTAATAAGAGGAAATCACTCCGCAAATCTTTCACAAACAAACGAACACATCACGAAACCTAATAAGCGTCAAACTTGAGTTGCATTCGCCTTTACGGTCAGGGTTTCTTTCATTGCAACCTAGTTTTTATCCTCTTTAGGGTGCTTGAATATCGTGAGTTCCCTTGTCATTAGGTTTGAAGGTTATGAGATTTTGAGATTATAAGATTTCGTAATTATTTTATTTATTCATAAGAAGCGTGTCGGGCTGAAACATCTTCTGTTTCTAGGTTTCAAAGCGTTTCTTGCTTATTTAGTTTTGGGGTTATGAGATTTCAAGGTTATGGGGTTCTGGAGTTATGGTGTACAGGGTTAAAAAAGCGGTTTTAGTTCAGTCCCTGAAATTTCGCACAACTTTTGTAGAGGTTATTAATACGACATCTTGCTTCCCAGGAGAGATATCAGCCGGGATACCTTCAGAAACCGGTTCATCCAATAGATCGAAGCGTACTCGAACGTCAATTTTTCTGCTTTTTCAGAATTCAAGGTCAAAAAAATTGTACATTCGAGTTAATGTAAACACATTACCTTCATTTGACCCTGATCTAGACGTGATGGGGTCATATGGACACCGGGATCGTGATCAGCGACCCCAAGGAGAAACAATATTTCAATAAAGAATTGTGCTTTTCACAAAGTAAATGCAACAAATAAATTATAGCTTATTTGCTCTATTTTAAATAATTAATGTGTATATAATTTTCAGGTCGGGAAGGTTTTGGTCCTACCGACCAGGAATGGGGATTTGTTACTGTGAGGGAGAATGCCCATATATTTTGGTGGCTACATTATACTACTGCAGATGCACCTGCTGTTGAAAGGCCACTGGTTATTTGGCTTCAAGGAGGACCAGGAGGTTCCTCGACTGGATTCGGAAATTTTGGTGAACTGGGACCCTTAGACGAAAATTTAAATGTAAGGAATACTAGCTGGGATCGAGACGTTAATGTTCTCTTTGTTGATAATCCTGTGGGAACAGGATACAGTTACGTAGATATACGTGATGCTCTTACAACAACCAACAGACAAATAGCTGAAGACTTTGTTGAATTTCTCAAAGGATTTTATCAAGCTGTACCAAGTTTCAAAGAAGTACCAGTTTACATATTTTGTGAATCCTATGGGGGGAAAATGACTGCAGAAATTGCATTAGTACTTTATCAGGTAATTATATTTGTAAAAGTCCAATATAACAATAAGCCAATAAAAACATAACTTATTTTACCTAGAAGAATATTTGAAGATCTTTTATTTGCGACGTTGTTTTTCTGAAGAATACATTGTTTCTAAGACATTTTTATTGTTTTTCATTTGCATCCGTTCTTTCTTTCATTAATGCATAATTGACCATTCACTCGGTTTGTTCTTTAGTTTTTGAAATATTTCTTTTTGCTCATTATTCCATTAGATTCGTAAGTGGCTTGGTCTCAAACCCTTCAATATTTTTTTTATTATAACTGGTTAATTCAATGAACTTCTGAGCAAAGCAATCACGATGAATATTTTAAACGTTTATTGATTTGGTTATATGCTCAGGGGACTAATTGCTTTCATTTTTGCACAATTGGTAAAATTAATTCGTGTACACGGTTTAAATGAATTGTTTTTGACTAAAACATAGCAGATCTCACTATCCAACCTAGTAACGTCTGTGACTCTCACAGCATTTGGCAGAACCAAAGTCACTTTCAGTGGAGGTCTCAGTTGATTGTTTTTAAGGACTAACGTTATAGCCCGAGAGCCAGCACCATTTTTGATGACCAAAAGAGCAAAAGCTGAAAAGTCCTACGCTTCATTTGGTGTCACTAGTAAAACAAACGACCCCCAGCTCGCGCACTGCCGGGGGGTATAGTTGCGGCAGCCTCCCAAACCCGTAAAATAATAAAATAAAAAAACTAATACCGCAAAAGCTGAGACTTTGTCGACAAGTTAATTATGTTATAAACAAAAGAAAAAACGCAATCCGCTGACTTTAGAGTGGGGGGGTTATGCCTCAGCTTTTCACCTAAAGAAGTCAAAAATATGCGCTAGGTAAACTGATACCGCAAAAGCTGAAATTTGGTAAAGTAATAGTCAACTTAATCAGTTATACGAAAAAAATGGTCCGCTGAAGTTTTTGTGGTGTATAAGTGCTCAACTGACGAGTTGAAGGCGCAGCACATCGCTATGCGCGCGGGCGCGTTGCATCATTAACATTATCAGCTGAGAACTTTTCCCTCACTACCTATATATAAAGCTGAGTATTTTTTTCATTTAACTTATTAAATTAGGTATTGTATTAACAAAATTTCAGCTTTTGCGGTATGAGATATCTATATTTTTTCTATTTTTTAAGTCTTAGTAGTAATTATATAAAAATATACAACTTTTTTCGAATATTTATTTACAATAAATGATCTCACGAGTTTTCAATTCAAAGAATTTTAATAAATATTCACATTTAAATACTTATGTTTGCATAACAAAATTATAAACAGTAAATATATGTATGTAATGTACATATAGATAAAGTTAGATAACCACTTCGGAAATTACAATCGCATGAGTACAAAACTGAATATTCGGTTCATAGTTTGAAAGATTCCTTTTTCCTCACCTGAACGTCATGGGTCCCAGCATCCAATACGTCCCCTCTTCTACTCCAATCTGGCTAACATGAGTGCCATAAGTAATCCTAATGTTAAAGTTTCAATGGAAGCCGGAGTCGGTAATAATCAGCGTTTTATTAACATAAGTCATCTATATAAAACACTAGGCCCTAAATTAAGCGCAGCATTGCCAGCTTTTCATGCCCTCACAGGTTGCGATTACAACCCATCATTTTTCAAAAAAGGAAAAACTCGGCCCTATAAGCTTTTACGAAACTCTGAAGTTTTCATCGATAGTTTTATTAAATTAAGCAACGTACCTGATGGAGGGATGCAGAATACATTTGATAGTATAGAAGAATATGTTTGTCGAATGTATGGATTTAAAAAAATTAACAAAGTCAACGAGGCTCGAGTTGCAACATTTTTGAAGACATATAATATTTTAAGAAACGATGACATATTCCACTTGCCAAAAAATAATATCGACGGATCAGCTCTACCGTCTTGCAAAATTGAACTGCACCAACATTTGCTGCGGACAACAAATTGGATTACAAATATTTGGGCACACACTCATCTTCAGGCCCCAACAGAATTATATCCGACTGATTTCGGCTGGGAAGAGAAGGGGGACAACTTTATTTTTAAATGGTTCGAGAGTGAACAGCTGCCTTCTTCCCTTGGAGATATAATTATCGAGGATGAACAAAAAAATAGTACAGGTTAGAACAAGGGTCGGCAACTGGCGGACCGCGGTCCAGGTCCGGACCGCGGAAGGTAAAATACTGGACCGCCAAAAAGTTTTTGAAAGTATAAATTACTCAAATAAATTATTTAAAAAATGTTTTTTACGTTTAAGTGCCAATCTTATCATTTTTTCTAGTATTTTACAATTGTGTGAGTGTTTTGAGTTCTTAATTAGTAAGCAGATTAAATTTGAGTCCAAATTAAAATAAAAAAATAAGAAATATGAATTTTTTTCTGGACCTCGTTAAAAATTTTCAAAAGTATCCGGACCGCACCCAAAATTACTTGCCGACCCCTGGGTTAGAATATACTAATATATTTCGCTCTATAATAAAATTTAATTATTTAAGTGTAAATTTTGATTATTTAATTTACATATATGTAAAATACAATTTAAAAATATTTAAAAATATTCGTACTATATGAAATAATTTTTTATAATTAACGTTTTTTTAATAATATAACATAAAACACACCACAGAAATGAGACAATCCCCAAATCCAAAGCCAGAGGCTGTGCGGAAGGGGGTTACACTTGAAAAACGCGGACAAACACCCTTTATCCATCGATATTGCCAGTGCCGACACTAGGGATCGAACCCGGACCAGAATAAGAAGTCAGGCCGAGAAATGCCTGCCACGGCATGCTCGACCGACTTCGCTACCGTGGTTATTATTATTATTACCATTATTATTATATATTTACAGATGATGAGGAAGAAATGGCAGGAATCGACATTGACTTCAGCGACCATGAGTTTGAGGGTGATGAATCGGAAGATGAAATAGATTAAATTTTTTCATACATAACGTTTACTGTAAATAAATATTCGAAAAAAAGTTGAATATTTTTATATAATTACTACTAAGACTTAAAAAATGAAAAAATTATAGATATCTCATACCGCAGAAGCTGAAATTTGTTAATACAAATTAATTTAATAAGTTAAATGAAAAAAATACTCAGCTTTATATTAGTTAAAAATGCAACGCGCCCGCGCGTATAGCGATGTGCTGTGCCTTCAACTCGTCAGCTGAGCACTTATACACCACAAAAACTTCAGCGGACCATTTTTTTCGTATAACTGGTTAAGTTGACTATTACTTTACCAAATTTCAGCTTTTTGCGGTATCAGTTTATCTAGCGCATATTTTTGACTTCTTTAGGTGAAAAGCTGAGGCATAACCCCCCACTCTAAAGTCAGCGGATTGCGTTTTTTCATTTGTTTATAACATAATTAACTTATCGACAAAGTCGCAGCTTTTGCGGTATTAGTTTTTTTATTTTATTATTTTACGTGTTTGGGAGGCTGCCGCAGCTACACCCCCCGGAACTGCGCGAGCTGGAGGTCGATTTACTTACTAGTGATACCAAATGAAGCGTAGGAAAAATGTTCAGCTTTTGCCAAATGACTACCTCAAAACGGTTGCTGGCTCTCGGGCTATTATAATGAATAGATTAACAAAAAATTGTCTTATCAATACAGGGACTATTTAGACTACGTCGTTAGTAATTACAATACTCCCGTAAATCCATTTAAATTGTTGCTTCTGCCTCATTCATTAGACTTCCTCTATATTCTTTAATTTAATTGCGTACTGTTGTTGGGTCGACTCTCTTTGCTTGTTATAGGATTGGAATCATTTAATTGATCTTTTCACGTTATGGTTCTGCTATCAAATAATCTTCTAACATTTCCTTTTATCTCCCAAGCTGAAAAAAGGATTATTCAACTTTTATGTTATTCTATAGGATTTGGCCCTCTACTCAAAATTCAAGCTGGCGCTTCATCTTCGCTGATTAATTAATTAAATTAGCTACAGTAGGACAGCAGAAAATTAATTCTTAATTGTAGATTAGTTTTATTTTCAATAGAACATTAGAGGCAAGAACTTGTGTTGCTATAGTATAGAAGTAAACTTTTTACTTGCCTTAGAATGCTTACCTACTTCAAAAATACATAAGTCAGTATCTCCAATTTCAAAAAAGGAAGTGTACTATACAGCATTAATTATATTATTACTGCATTTGGTACAAAAGCAAAGTTTTCTTTTGAAATCCGTATTTATTTATTTATTTATTTATTTATTTATTTATTTATTTATTTATTTATTTATTTACTTAGTTAATACTGAATAAGTAAGGCACGACATTTCAGTTTGAAAGCAGGAGCGTCCGCGTGTGGATTACCTAGTGCGTTTATAATAAATAATTTTATAATATTCTGGAATGCTTACCTGGTTCCGTATTAAAAATCTGTATGAACTCTGGTAAATATCTGGAACTTTACATATGTCTCCTCAGTAGATTCTTTAAGCGATGTCCGCAAAAGAGAAAAAATATTCTTATATAACGAAAATGATTGTTCGACATTATAATGATGAATATTTGAAGTAATCTCTAAAAGCAGTTAATGAATCCGTAAGAGGGCTATTGGTATGGAGGTGTCTTAATCTGGAGAAATCTGGATTTTTTCTTAACATATTGTCAAACTTTCTTTGAGGCAAACACTTTTGCCTTGGTCTGTGCCATTAATTCATCTACATCTGGGTATAACACCGACGAATTGTTTCTGTTTCAAGATGTAATATGTGCAGAAACAGTTGTTTGTTAATACTTAATTTCGCCATACTTTACTTATTTACTTCGACATACTTTTACTTATTTACTTTTTTAAGACACAGGAAAAATCTCGCCGCTAAAGAAAGAACAAAAAACATATATCTGATACGCTGCGACGTGACCGGAAACTACCTGCCTACTGCTGTCGCTAGAATGCAGATTATTACCGATTCCGGTTTTATTTATTATTCCTAGCGTGGCCT